GGGGGAGATGGGGAGGGGAGGGGGACGGGGCGACCGCGCCCAAGAGCCGCGACGCGGTGGTCGCCGCCGCCGGCGGAGTGACAGCGGGAGGGGAGAGCGCACGAGATGACCGGACAGCGAAACAGATATTGCGCACCGCGTGTGGAAATGGACGCATAAGATACAACAACGATTTCTTCCAAAGAAACGAGACGTTTACGAAAAGGAATTACAACACAAAGACTGTTTCAGCCATCTAATTCTCAGATCCTGGAAACGTTGCCATTGGTTCACACCCGACGACTTCTGAATTGTTGAGGATTTAAAAGTTTAGATAGGATCCAATCAATGCAAACATATTTCCATTTTCTTATTCGTTGTAAGGGTCAGAAATCTCTCGGTCATGTTTACCTGTTACGTGTGTTGTTTTCCGGCCGATCTGATTAACACTAGATTTGTCATAGAATCATAATTTGTCTGGGCATTTAGTTAGACGTCCAATACAATGAAGCACAATAACATGAAGCTCGTAGAATGAAGCTCGTAGAATGAAACTCCGTAGATGAAACTCAGTAGATAAAGCCCAGTAGAATGTAAACCAGTTGAACGGAACCTAATACAATGAACTGGGTAGAATGGAGCCCAGTAGAATTAGGCTTAGTACAGATGGGCTCAGTACAAAGGTGCCCGCAAGACACCGTGGCACGCAGACTGCTATTGCCGGGTCACTGCAATCAAATATATGATCAACGAATACGTAAGCAACCTTGGAGTTAGTTTTACAAAAGGGCTTTAGGAAATCTGACAGTATAAAATTGAAAAAAACGAGGGAATTATCACTCCAACGAATTACTTAGTGTGAGATCCTGCGTGACAAGTCCAAGGAATATAGTACTGAGTTTACAGAACCAATTTGCTATACAGGTTACTGACTTCAAATGAATGAAAAAATGATGTTCCACTTTGTAAATGCCAGACTAAAAAGTAACACTAAAAACGTTTCATCCAAACTTAATATTTCTAACTGGATATTAGAAATAAAAAGGTATCATATATTTTCATTAATTTCGAATCATTAAGAACCCTAATTGTAACAACAGTAAAAGTTAACAGAATTTGAGTTAGGTAGGTAATCTTTGGCTGTGGTGTGCTGCGAGAAAAGATAAGAATATAAAAGAATGCAGTACAATATCCAGACGCAAATCGGCCTTCATCAAGGAAAAAAACTTAAAACATTTTAAAGACAATTAATAAGATTTGTAAATAAAATTAACTTTGTGAAATTGTAGTATTTAACACCCAGAGGAATGTAATTATTACATGTATTTGTGTTTCATATTTTCATAATTCTTTGTTTGAAAATCTATAACGTTTAATACAGGCATTTAGTAATACTAAAGCTGTAATGAAGCAGTAATAACCAAGATCACTAAAAATAATGTCATATCTCAGTTTCTTCTCGTCAGACCACTCTCCTCTTAAACGATATAAACATACTGAAAATGTGTAGATTCGTGACTAACAACCCAGATTTCATTGTTATTTACTGGCGTTGCTAAGATAAATATTTTATAACAAAATTAGACAAGTTTCCTAGGACACCACAAACTTATTTATCACTTTCACAGGGGAATTGGTCGGGGGGAGACGGGGTAACGTGGGGCTCTTCAATTTTCGGCTAAAATCCTGAAAATTATCAAAAAGTACGGTGATATTTAATAATATATATTCAAGACTGTTATTCAAGAAACGTAATTAAAGGAATTTACTAATTTTAACTGAAGCAAAAGTAAGTATTGCTTTCAGTGACCTAACGTTGTACATTACTGCACGTTTAAGGCTTGCATCTATTAGTAAATTAGTTATTTAGTTAATTTCGATTTTTAGTTGATTCGGCAAGACAATTTTTGTCAGAAAAAAATTTAATTTTATTGCATAATTTATAGCATAAACACGATCAATATTTTTCAGAATACAAAAAAAGAAATTATGCGTGAAATAGTGCATATCCAGGGCGGGCAGTGCGGAAATCAGATTGGAGCCAAGGCAAGTGTGAAATTATTTCAATTTTAAAATTTTGCAATTTCACATCCTTAGCATTAAATACAAAATATAACTTGGATTACTTTAATATTGTAAATAGTATTATTCCACATTACAATTATATTAATTTAGTTGTGTTTAATTAATTTAGAAAAATGTAAATATATTTAATGAATGTCAATGTATTTCAGTTTTGGGAAGTGATATCCGATGAACATGGAATCGATCCTACAGGATGTTATCGTGGTGATTCCGACTTACAACTGGAACGGATAAATGTTTATTACGTCGAAGCCACAGGTTCGTATGAAAACGTATAATTGTTCAGTTTTTAAAACTTATTTAGGTTCTAAAAAAATTAAAATCACTGCATGGAACAAGTATTCTGAAAACATGAGTCATAATATCCTTTTTTTAAAATATATAATGCATAGGAAACAAAGTTAACGTGATAAAGTAAAATTACAAAATGGTTCTGAGGATATACGGTCAGTCTTACTTTTAAAAATGAATTCTGAAATTAGCTGGAAAAAATCGATTTCAAATAATTAAGCACTAAAAGAGACACCATTTTAATTCTGCAGAGCTGAAGTTGAAGCAGAGCTGAGCTTCTGTGGTAGCTGAGTTCATAAGTGGACAGTAGCAACTGAATGAAAAAAACGCAGATTACTAAAAACAAGAATTTAGGATCTGAGTCTGCTTGCCTCCCTAGGTGGAAAATACGTCCCACGAGCCTGCCTCGTGGACCTGGAGCCCGGAACTATGGACTCCGTGCGAGCCGGGCCGTTCGGACAGCTGTTTCGACCGGACAACTTCGTGTTCGGACAATCCGGCGCCGGCAACAACTGGGCCAAGGGCCACTACACCGAAGGCGCCGAGTTGATCGATTCCGTGCTGGACGTGGTGAGGAAGGAGGCGGAGAGCTGCGACTGCCTGCAGGGCTTCCAGCTGGCGCACTCGCTGGGCGGCGGCACGGGCTCCGGCATGGGCACGCTGCTGCTGTCCAAGATCAGGGACGAGTACCCTGACAGGATGATTCTCACCTTTAGTGTCTTCCCGTCGCCCAGGGTAAATGATTCGTCAAATCCGGAAACTCAGCTTAATGACAATAATGTGAAAGAGCACAGAGATAACGCATTGATAACCTCTCTTTGTCCAATTTTGTAAGGCAGAGGAAAAATGAAATTTATATAAATCCAGACATTTTGTAATGTTTCTTTGTATACACACTTTCATTTCTACACATATTTAATGTCCTAGGAACACATTTGTGCAGCGATTGGTTCATAACGTTTTTGGGGGAAATATTAATGATTTTTTTTGATTAGGTGAAATTTAGGTTATCACTGTTGCGTCTTCACTCTTAACGTATTATTTATTATTTTATAGAAATAATTACTAAGAAAAACAGAAGGCATTAGTAAAAATTTACTGGCATTAGGAAAATCCTACTGAAGGGACGGATTTTCAACATTAATTTCAGTAAAGTAAAGAATGCTCATAAAGTTACAAAAATTAAGGTAACTTTACAAATATCTTAACTTTTTGTTTTAGTACTTTGTTCACCGTTTTTGTCGACAATAGTTTTCAATTTGAAAAAACATTATTTCATATTGACAAGTTTCATAATTTATCGTTCTTCAGAGATGCGTAACGAACCAAACATATGAAATCTAAATCAGTGATGTGGAGGCGACTAGGTTGTTCTTGGCACATTTCGTTACATGCATCAGTTGCAAGAACAACAATTTCATATGAGATCAGAAACATAATTAGTATATTTTCTTAGTTATAGGCATTTCAGACCAATATTAATGATTTTATTTAAATATGACTCAGAAAACAAGATATTCAACTTGGTTTTACAGCTTATACAATATACAGCTTAAATGAATAAAAATCAATCCTCATTAAAATTTCAAAATGAAATGTATCCACATCTTTGTCTACAAATTACATTTCATAAAAACATCAGTAATCCTCTAGCTTCGAATAGTTTATTTTCTTTTCCTCCATTTGACATAGAGCGACAACTGAATCATACTTGTGAACTTGGCAGGTGTCGGACACAGTAGTGGAGCCGTACAACGCGTGCCTCTCGATCCACTTGCTGCTGGAGAACACGGACGAGACGTTCTGCATCGACAACGAGGCGCTGTACGACATCTGCTTCCGCACGCTGAAGCTCTCGTGCCCCACGTTCGGAGACCTCAACCACCTCGTCTCCGTGACAATGTCGGGCGTCACTACTTGCCTTCGCTTCCCGGGCCAGCTGAACGCCGACCTGCGCAAGCTGGCGGTCAACATGGTGCCGTTCCCGCGCCTGCACTTCTTCGTGCCGGGCTTCGCGCCGCTCACGTCGCGCGGCAGCCAGCACTACCGCTGCCTGACGGTGCCCGAGCTCACGCAGCAGATCTTCGACGCGAAGAACATGATGGCGGCGTGCGACCCGCGCCACGGCCGCTACCTGACGGCGGCGGCCGTCTTCCGCGGCCGCATGTCCGTCAAGGAGGTGGACGAGCAGATGCTGAACGTGCAGAACAAGAACAGCACGTACTTCGTGGAGTGGATCCCGTACAACGTGAAGACGGCGGTGTGCGACATCCCCCCGCGAGGCCTCAAGATGTCGGCCACGTTCGTGGGCAACACGACCGCCATCACGACGCTGATGAAGCGCATGTCGGAGCAGTTCACGGCCATGTTCCGCCGCAAGGCCTTCCTGCACTGGTACCTCGGCGAGGGCATGGACGAGATGGAGTTCGCCGAGGCGGAGTCGGACGTGAACGACCTGGTGTCCGAGTACCAGCAGTACGAGGACGTGTCTCCGGAAGAGGAAGGGGAATACGAAGACGAGTAGGGGCCCCGACCAACATAGAATTCGCCGAGCGGAACCTTTTTCTGCCAAAATTCTCTTTTCGGGAAATGGGAATTCCTACAAAAGTGGGGTGTTTGGCAATATTTATTTAAATTATTTAATATTTGAATTTATTTTTGTAATCTTTATTGTTTTCTATTAAAATTGTTGCAAAGGAATGGTGTGTGTTTATTTTGGGGAAAAGAACTATTACCAATATTTTTTTCTTCAAACCTATTTCTTAATTTGGTATCAGAATGGGTTTTATTGAGGTGACAATGTTGTTCTACCATTCTTCCTATTTTATATCGTTTGAACTAATTTAGTGGTACTTATTTTTAGGAAACAACTTATACACTAGAAAACTAAACTACCTTTTTATAATCAATTTGACTTTTCTATCGATGACTTCAATATTAGTTAACGTGACTAGTTTGTGAAGTATTCAGGTAAGAAAAGTTTCCTCAACTAAATTTTGGATAAAGTAATCTTGTGTATATAAGAACTTTAGCCATATTTTGAATTTAAAATTGTATGTAAGGAAACCTTTATTTTACAAAAAGGATCTGCATCTTGCATGAAAAGAGCTAAATTTACGTCATTGAACTATTATTTTTATTTACTCTCTCAGCAATTTTTTAACATAGTCATAAAACCACCAGCCCAGCCTCCAATGGGGGAACGAAACGGCTAACGAAGATTACTCCATCACATTACGGGGACGAAATGCAGAATAAATAGTCAAGCGTATTCCACTAAAATTAAAATATACAATTAGGATTTCTATTATTACAAAGTTTATATCGACATACGGAAAGAATGACTGACATATGGGAGGAATTAAGTAGGAAATGGTCATTCCCTCCGAAGTTAAGTTGTTATCTCTAGACAATGTCTACCACATTCGACTAAGTATACCGTTTTTATTCATGCACCAAAGTTTCTCTAATAGAAAATATATATCAGGAGCAGGATTAATAGTCTATTTATTAAAACGCTTTGATAATAGATTTACGTTTGAAAAATGTGTGGGTCTCACATGTTTGAGATTCTAAAATACAGAAAATCAATTGATGAATTAACGGGGAGATATAACACATGAGCATACTTGTGCCCTATCCGACTTCAAAGGCACTGTGTCTCCGATAACTACTCGTATAATGGGATAAATGCCAGAACAATCAAGAATCATTCCTGCGTAACCATGGCGTGATTTGTTTTCATTGTTCTACACCCAAATTACCCGTTCGGCAGCCACAGTTATCCGGTCTTAAATTATTTTCAAAATTTGTAAGTATATCAGTTATTTAGTTTTCTGTTTATTCCTCATTTACAATACGCATTTTATGTATTCAAATTAGTTTTATTTTAAAGTTATATTTCCTTGTGTAATGTGAAAGAAAAATGATTTAACCTTTCTGTGCCCTATCATCCTTTTTAAATTAAATAAATCATCATTATTGCGATTATCTCTTTTTATTTTTATTTTAAAATTTGTAACATTGGGCAAGGAACATTTTGAGTACAAAAGATAGTAGGTGGTTAATTTTTTAACGAAATAAAATATTTTTTCTATAATTATTCTATTTTTCTTTAGTCTTTGAAGTTTATATGTCAACCCAAAAAATGTATCAATACATATGAAATTGAAGTGCACATTTTAAAGAATTCCTGAGAATACATTCCTGAGAACACAACTTATTTCCATAAATATACATAAACATCAAAATGAATAAACTTATATTATGCAGTGAAAATTGTCTTCTTGAAACAATCGTTTACTAAGAATTTATTAAAAATGTAATACTTCTAATTGACTTTATAAACATTCACATATAAATATTAATTTAATCATATTTTTTAACGGAATTTAATTTAATTTCCAAAAATGTCAATTAAAATGATACTGAAAGGTAATTTTCGGAACTAAATGGTAAAATATTGCAAAAAAATATAAGAAAATCAACGAAAATATCGAATAATTTATTTGTATTTTTATTTCAGCAAGTAATTACTCACCATGCGTGAAATTGTTCATGTACAAGTAGGACAATGTGGCAATCAAATTGGCTGTAAGGTAAGATAGTAGTAATTATAAATAATATAATGTTACAAAATAATGTAATTATTTCAAAGTATCAAAAATAGCCTAATAAGAATAATGTTCACCCTTTAAAAGGAACAAACACTGACTAGAAATTTTCCACTTGCAGTTCTGGGAACTCATTTCGTATGAACATGGAATCGACTCACTCGGAATTTCTCATGGCGATTCCAAAGTTCAACTCGACAGGGTAAATGTATACTACTCAGAAGCTAGAGGTAAGTCATTTCCAAATATATATTTTTTAAATTTAATTTTAAATGTCGATCGTTCAGTAAAAATGAGAGTGTAAAAAAGTGTACAGAATCATTTCTCTAGTAACTGGATACCGAAGATTGACCTTTCTCATATTAAGTTGTGGAAGTTGAGAAGAAACTACAAGATTTTATATCTGAACACTTCTAAGTTATGTAATGCATTTTTGGCGACGATTGATATTTATGGAGGATGTGGAATATAGAGCAACGTGGAAGTAAATACGAAACTAAATTATTCCATGTTTGCCAAAATTACAGTGCATACAGTCGATCATTCACAATTCCGAGTTCATTTTGTGTTATTCATTGTTCTCAAATATATAACTTGGGCAAAAAGTATTTGATAGCTAACAACATTTTAATGTCGCGTGAATCATGAGATTTTTTTCTATTTTATCAGAGCTGATTATTTCTTCAGTTCAAACTATTGAGAGTATTACCAAATTATCACGAAGGATGAAGATAAATTTTCCATGTTAAAAGTAATAATATTATTACGAGGGTTTATAAAAAGATTATTATTCTCTTATTCTCTTACACGTCATTGTTGTTTTTTTTTGTTATAGACTAGCGCAGAAATTTTCAAATGAAAGTTGGTTACAAATCTACTGTTGGCCACGGATTTTACACCAGACATTTGCACCATTAGATTTGACTTCTGTTTGTGAATGCGTCCATTTGCTTTTGTAACAATGAGACGAGAATTTGCAAACCGCAATGTTACTGGCGATCTCAAGTTTACGATATTAAGTTCGGTTCAGTGCAACGTGACATTTAGGAGTTTGACAATGCGACATTCCCTTGACGCGACAGAAGAAAGTTAATTACTTTCTGAACTTGTAAAAATAAGGTTTTTGTAGGTTTTCAAACGCTCATTTACGAAATATGCTTTCCACATATTTTCAAAGCAACATTCTCTTCTTTTGAGCTTGAAATACTGCTATTGCCTGGGCTATTTATTTCCAAATGAGTAGTTTTCGTCACAATTATTTAAGGACGGAACTTTTATTCAATACTGAGCTCTATAATACTACATACTATATCATTACTCTCACATTCATTTCGAGTCAATGTCAATAGCTCACTACAAGAAATGTTAATTATTTTACAACACATTGGCAGACGGTATCAAATAAAATTGATATACAAGTTACAGACCATGTACATATTTTCTCTGCTACGAATGAAGAGCTTATTTCTAAAATGACATATCTCCATTTCCGTTTGTTTTATTGTTTTATCAATAATTTCTTAAGAAGCTTCATCATACAATCAAATATTGGGTTCAACAATGGAATTAGTTACAATTGCTTTATATTTTTCTAAAGGACGAAATGTAGTATACCCAAAAGAAGAATTGTACTTCAACGTTTGGGTCAATGACTCCATTTTTACTTCTTTTCCTTTCTTTGTTTTCGTTTATCTATTTAGTAAATGCAGAGACGGTCCCTCATGTTGCTTTAAGACAATATTGGTAGGAGTAGAGCCATGAGTTGAGAAGAACCTAGTTATTTCGGTAGCAGCAGTGTGAAATGCCATCAGTAGTTTGCCGATGCAAATACGTTTTGTATTAGTGGAAAGCGAAATTTTGTATGAAGTGTGAAAATGTATCTAACCACGTGTTGTCGATGCCGTAATCCATAATACATCAATATGTAGTCAAGGAGTGGGTTAGGTATTCTGGGGCACAGGAAATCGTTTTCTACTTCATACCCATACGTCACATACAGTTGTTATTGATTTTGATGATACACGAATACACTTTTGGTATTTTATTCACCATTCCTCTATTTATGGTCGAAAAATGGGGAAGACCTTCTAGAGCTCAAGAAAACGTGCGTAGGTTGTACAGCGCGTCAAGAAAGTCTTTCCGCAGTGGCACCTTGGTGCTTGCAACAAACATTTTGTTGGCAGCATCATGTAACAAAAGAAACCGTAAATATCGCACAATGATAATTGGGGATTGGAAGTGTTGTCTCCTTCAATTGTTTCTCCGTGATCTGTTTGCTACATAAATGCAATTGTTAATAGAAGGCCCTAACTCGGATTCTCGGCTGACTCTCGGCTAGTGCGGAAAGAGTTTACTGGCGCGTTACACTTCCCCTCCATACTCACGCCCAATTGTTACTGATTGTGGCGCTAAATGAGAGAATGTGTGTGGCAGGTGGCAAGTACGTCCCGCGGGCGGTGCTGGTGGACCTGGAGCCGGGCACGGCCGACACGGTGCGCTACAGCCCCTTCGGCCAGCTCTTCCGGCCGGACAACTTCGTGATCGGGCAGTCGGGCGCGGGCAACAACTGGGCCAAGGGCCACTACACGGAGGGCGGGGAGCTGGCGGACGTGGTGCTGGACGCGATGCGCAAGGAGGCGGAGAACTGCGACTGCATCCAGGGCTTCCAGTTGGCGCACTCGCTGGGCGGCGGCACGGGCTCCGGCATGGGCACGCTGCTGCTCAACCGCGTGCGCGAGGAGTACCCCGACCGCATCATCCTCACCTTCAGCGTCTTCCCCTCGCCCAAGGTGCGTCGACCGATAAGGTCATTATTGTCGGAAGTGCAGCACACATTTTATCGTGGCCGGCGGCGGTGATCTTTCCCGCTGGAAGACGCAGACCTACCCGTCGGCTTGCAGGGTTTCCCCAACTAGGTGACTCCCACTAGCGCGATACCGCCCCACCCGAGAGAAGCTCTAAGCTTCCGACCGTGTCTCCCGGCGTGTGTGGTAGTGTGGTGTGTGTAAGTGTAAGCGTGTGTTAGTAAGGAATGAGGATAGGACACCGTGGCACTACTCCTGCATTCGCCTGGTGTTGATCGAAAAAAACCGAAAACTACCGACCAGAGCAGCCGGCCGGTGTACTTCTCCTCCAGACAGCGGCTGAATACATCCTAGCTAGCATCGAAAATCTCACCACCGTCAGGACTCCAACCCTAGGACCTTCCCATTAACGGCATTGCAGTGACATCAACTGATACCCTGAGCCACCTCATTCTCTCCAAAGGTCTGGATTTTGACTTCCAGCGCTTTTGGATGGTGTATTTGATTGTTCTGCAATTTCGTTAGCAAGAGTCAGTAAATTGCACATATCGTGAGATTGCATATTAATAGTTTAAAACATTTTCTAAAATATATTAATTTTTTATAAGTTTTGAATCTAATTCTGCAATTCATCCACATCGTGAGCTTTGAGAGTGTCCCGGCTGGGGCAGTGTCCCGCTGGGGGAAACCAGCAAACCCACGTGAACGTCGGTACTGGATTTTTCATTCAATCAGGGGAATAACACCGACACCTCCAGACGTATGAAATGCACTACACTTACAGAAATAATAGTAGTTGATCAGTAAATGCACAAAATCAATAAATTCTCCTTCCTCAAAACACTAGATTACCCGTTTTAATTGAATTTTAGTGGTGGTTTTCGGTATCTATAGAAAATATCGATATACTCGAATGAATAATCAAATTGGGAAACTTTTCAAATATACATATTAATGGAAGAGACTACTCATTTCAGATTTCATCCTGCAAAAACTAATGTAGACCAACGAGAGGAAAGTAAACTATTCTCTAAAGAGAAAGGTTGATAAATGAATCGTTAAAATAGTTTTATTATAAAATTTCTTTGATTATATATTGATATCTAATCATACATACCATTCATATGAACTTTTAATATCAAACATCTGCTCATTGAATTTTCGTTATCAATTGAAACGTACAGTGAGAGAGAGAGAGCTAAACTGAAAAATTCAAAATATCGATTTATTAACGTATTCAATTACGAAGACATTGAATATGTTAATAAATTGATTCCCACTGTTATCGGATGCCTCAATTGTAGCACTTAACAGAGAAACACCATAAATGTACTTTGTCACATATTATGTGTATTTTCCCATTCGTTCCAGGTCTCTGAGACAGTAGTTGAACCCTACAACGCAGTGCTGTCCGTCCACCAGCTCGTGGAAAACGTGGACGAGACATTTTGTATCGACAACGAGGCCCTGTACGACATCTGCTTCCGCACGCTGAAGCTGCCCTGCCCGACGTACAGCGACCTCAATCACCTTGTTTCCTTCACCATGTCGGGCGTCACGACCTGCCTCCGGTTCCCGGGCCAGCTGAACGCCGACCTGCGCAAGCTGGCCGTCAACACGGTGCCCTTCCCCCGCCTGCACTTCTTCGTGCCGGGCTTCGCGCCGCTCGCCGCCCGCAGCCTGGTGCAGTACAACGCGGAGTCCGTGGGCGAGATCACCAAGCAGATCTTCGACCCGAAGAACATGATGGCGGCGTGCGACCCGCGCCACGGCCGCTACCTGACGGCCGCCGTCATCTTCCGAGGCAGCGTCTCCATGAAGGAAGTGGACGAGCAGATGCTCAACATCCAAACGAAGAACAAGGGCCACTTCGTGGACTGGATCCCGAACAACGTGAAGACGGCCGTGTGCGACATCCCGCCCCAGGGCATGAAGCTGTGCGGAACGTTCGTGGGCAACTCGACCGCCATCGTGGAGGTGCTGAACCGGATATCCGCTCAGTTCTCCGCGATGTACCGTCGGCGCGCGTTCTTGCATTGGTATCTCGGAGAGGGCATGGACGAGATGGAGTTCAGCGAGGCGGTGAGCAACCTGAGAGACTTGATTTCAGAGTACTTGCAGTATCAGGACATGCAGACGGATGCGGACGACGAGGAGTTTGAGGGGGAAGAGGAGACGGAGGTGGAAGACTAGATTTCCGGCATTTTCATTACGCGACATTAAGCTTTTCGGACTGTTTTTGGCTTCCTGACCGGAACACAATTGTGGCTAATCTCTAATTTCTTATTTTTTGGTCATTTGGAAATTTACACTCTTTTTTATAATTTCTTTTTATTTACTTTCGTAATATTTGTTGGTGGCATTTACTACTTTCTCAAGATTTACATCTAAGACATTATCAAGACCTCAAGGATACTCGTATATATGATTCTTTATTTAAGTTTGTATAATATTTTCAATAAAACTATTAAAACAAAACTCAGAAATTTCCTTTATATGCTTCAGCAATATTAAATTGCTTTTGATTTTTAAATCAATTCAATTAATATTAATTTTGGATTTTATATGGTACTTAAGTAAACTCACACATTCTAATTGCAACTTTCAGCAACACTATAGTATTCATTTTAATTTCTGTACATCCGTTTTAAAAATACGTAAATATAATTTCGTCATTAAAATAATTTTAAAAGTTAAAGTACGTCAAACTATTGGAATTCATGATTCAAGTCAAGGAAAATGAATCTGAGAAATTACCACCTCAAAAGAACGAATAAATTTGTATGTCATGTTCCGAGACGACTACATAGATACCTCGTGGTACTAATGTGTATGGCATCATCGGCAAGTGGTTCTCACAGCACAGCCCATCCGTGGAGGCCACCCACAGTCTTCCAACCGCCTCGCATCACGAGCCGACGGCCATCGTCCCACAGTGTCCACAGTCCCACCCACTGGACTAGACTTCTCCCGCATCTTGTCGAGAGACCCCACTTTTCGTTCGTGTTTTCTCCTACCCCACCCCGCAAAACAGGCATACAACATCGGAGGGCATCTTGGTGATTCGTTCAGACTCACATTTCTACGCCCTTACCCATAAGGTTTATCATTTTGTTGATCTTCACATCGCATTATAAATATAATGTACAGAATCGTGTGAATCAAATAAATAGACCAAATGTTGGCATTGTTAAAAAACCGCTTATTGACCTACCCTCACGATTCTCTACATTATACATAAAGTTTATCACACTTGTTTCTGATCATATTCCCTGCCACTTGATACCGTACTTACTGTCATCTATAGCCGAACCGTTTCCCGGTACTACCCTTCATAAGCCCCGTCTACCCCACGTGACTCGTATCGTCACGCCCAGTCCCATCCAAATAGACCCACTTCGGCGCCGTCCATATTGTCCGTCCCATACTTCCCTGCCCTGCCTCGACCCATCGAACCCCCACCTTTCCGTCCCCCTCGAAGGACCCCGCCACCACCCTGCTCCGCTCCCCACCCCGCTCCGCTCCGCGCGCCCGCACCTCATCTTCCCACACGACCTCCCCGCGGGCTGGCCATCTCCCCACGGCCGCCGCGAGATGTCGCGGTATCAGACGCACTTATCACGCCAACGGCGCTGCATTTGTCTAGCGTCAGGCGGCGGCCGGCGCTCGCTATAATGCTTAATGGCCCCACTTTTATCTGCGGGCGACGGCGGCGGCGCGGGCGGCGGCGGGCGCCCGTGTTGTCAGTATGTCTGTGTCCGAAGGCCCGCAGGAAAGAAAAGGGCTCGCTCTTTTGTGTTGGCGACACTGGTTTGTAAAGGTTAACCTATTAGTCTAGCTGTTGGTTGGGGCCATTCTTATTGTGCGCGGGACCTCACACGCGCTGGGCCCGGCTTGCACGGCACGACGACATAATAGCCGGCCGGATTACGAACCGAGGCCCCCTCGCACGGACGCGCCTGTTTGTTTTTATTTCGGCGCTTACGATTTGTCAGTTTCTTTATTCAATTATCTTCTAATTTATTTCTTACCCCTATCGGAATATCTGCATGATACAGGATACGTGTGCTAAAGAGGACGATTCATTTATTTCTCCCCCTGATACGAGCAATGGGGCTCCGCTCGAATCCATTATCAGCGCGCGGCGCGCGGGTTAATGCCGTCCGCTGAATGATCGTGACGGGGATATATACCGCGCGTTAGAATTTTTCACACGACGACGACGGCGACGGCCATCTCCCGTGTAAAGGGTGGGCTTGCTTACTCAAAGCGATAGTCGCGCGCTATTTATCACGGAGGTAATGCAAATCGATCACGCGCACGGGAGAGGCCGCGGCCGCTGCATGGCTAATAAGGCCGGCGCGCGCCGGTGCTCGCTCGCGGCCCCGGGCGACGCCGCGCGGGGCAGAGGAAGGACGCGCGTGTGTTTGATTTCTATGATTTTGAGGAAAGTTTCTATGATTTTGCATGTTTTTGCCTGATACTTCAAGGCATGGTTAAATGAACGTTTTTTAATTATGGTAAGAACTGGAGGCTATCTAGATTAATATGTTAAAGCTTATTTATATATAGTTGGCCGATTTTCCAGTTGTTGCATATTCATGAAATTATACGCATATATTTTGCATGATTCATTGATATAGAGACTTATTCCTAAAATGTTTCACCTTTTCATGGAATCTATTTCTGAACGTTCATTCATTACAAAGAGATTGTCACAGTTTGCGGGTTATCTTTTCATTTCCATACACAACAAAGTACTTGTTTTTGAAATCAGGAAGGAGAAATGAAATAAGACATACAAGGCACCTCAGTAAGGTGAACTTTAATTATTTCCCCCACGAAGTGAGGATTATCATGGTTGCAGAATATTATATCTTTTCATTCCTCTTACACAAATCATGCTAGGTTTATACTGGAAATGAAATTTTGTTAGTTGTGAATGCATAATTCAGAATTTTTAGGCCAGAAGCGCTTTTTTTCAAGAGCATATTACAAGAGCTTCGAGCATAAACGTCCTCTCCCTAATTATTATTATTATTATTATTCCTTCGATTCACAACTTAAGTTGTTATGCGTCTGTTGAATATAAATTCTACTCCGGATTGCAACCAGCTTCCTAAGGAGGACATCTAGAAACTGTCGGCGCCTCTACAATACTTGTGCAAAATGTGAACTGTTCCCAATAAAGCAATATTTTGCACTTCCCAGTCTTATGAATGACCTGGGAGCTTAAACAAGTTCTTACACAAATTTTGCAGAACAAATCCCACAGCTTCGATAAATATCGGGACGACCTGTGCTTTTACGCCCCACATTCGGCTGATCTCGGTTTCCAAACTCTAATTTAAAGCGTTTCTCTGCCTCCTTGGTTACGACGTTTTGATCGTACGGTGCAGCAACATTGCGTGTAGATAATTTTTTTCCATATCCCGGCTAACAATATCCGGTTTTGTTTGCCCCTTATTATTATTATTGTTATTATTATTATTGTTAGCTATACCAATGCGATTACATTGCACAACAGGAACAACATACGCATTGTACTGAAAAGGGGAAATCCCCTTTGGAATATTGTTTCATGATGTTCAGTACATATTATCAAAGACTAATAAAATGATGGACTTTACAAATTTTAGAACATTACTGTCACTATCCACTCTCAATGCTATCCACATTAATCTAAAAAAACGTAATGCATCATATATTATTAAAATCGCTGATTGTTTTGAAAATAGATACGCGTTTCAAACACTTGCTTAACATTGCTAATCATTGCATTTAGAAACACTTTGTCTTCGAACTTAAAAAACTTTCTATCTTTGGAATGCTTTGAATACACCGGTTGCAACTCGGTCAACAAAACGATGTAACGAACGAATTCTGTCTAACAACATTACCTTCTCGTGTCCATTTAATGAGTCAATAGTGCTTGGCAATGAAAATATCTACTTAGAGTCTGCTTTTTAATTCCAAAATGCAGAGGTCACTAGCAGATTATGTCACTAAGAGACTATCTCAGAATGACTTGTCACTATGCAGACTTAACATCCGTTTAAAAGAACCTCAATTTAAATCGCTTCTATAACAATGATATTTACAGTACATAACAGTCTTGTTTATACAGTGTAAATGTTATAGAAAATTAATGGATTATTGCATATAAAATACTCTTAATATTTTATTGAATTATTTGCCAAAAATTTATAATGAAAAATTTGTAATAACTCTATTATTTATAAAACGACACAAGAGATTATCGCAAAACTAACGTTATAAAGTGAAGTTAATTTTATTCATGTGAAACATTCTTATTTCTACATTTGAATAAATTCCCTTATTCCTAAGCTGTTAATACTTTTCGTCACCTTCAGACGTCCTTCATAGTGACCTTTTTTAGCTATATTGCCTTTCAGATTACTGTGTTTTACAGTGGGAAAGAGGAAAGAACTTAGCAGTGACGTAAACGATATCATCTGAATCACTTATTCATATCACACCACCTTCAACCCACGTCTTCACCATCCTCACACAAATCCTCCCTCCCGCCCACCCGGGGCAGTCGCGGAGCGACTGATAGTAATCCAATTGACGGCGCGCGTCGGGGAAGGAGGTCGCTGTTGGGCGGAGGCTGCCCTCGCCCGCCGCCGCCTCCTCCTTCGGCTCTCGGGAGCTGGAGGAGTTTGAAAGGAAGCCCCACGCGGCGAGTGCCTCCGCGGGTGCCGATCCTCCCCCGTTTGGAAGCGCGGCGCTCGGCAAAGACGGACCGGAGGAGAGGTCGCAGCGCAGTGGGCGGCGGACCTGACTCCACGGACACTTCGATTTTTATATAGAAGCAGTAGCAGAATGGAACGCTAGTAGTCGTTCATGTCACACCTTCCGGCCTTGCTAGCGAAACTGTGTTTGATTAAATAGAGAGAGAGAGAAGCAGTCAAATATTAAGAAAAGATCGAACGCGTTCTGGACGCGTTTGTTAAGATATTGTTCCGGCATTTGGTTGGGAGTGATCGGAGAAACAACAAAAACTACCGATCAGAACAGAAGACCACCAGAATCCTCCTTCAGACAGAATGAATTCGATTTAAACATCGAACTAGTTAAAATCCACCTTCGGGACTCGTAAAATCCCAGAGAGATGCTGTTACGCTGGCTAGCGGTAACGGTTGTTGTCACTGAGTCATTTCAGTCCGTTC